TTCTCCCGAAGAGGAAAACTCGATTTATTCAAATGAATGGTGCTATTTAAGCATTGACTTTTAGGTACGAGAAGTTAGTTGAGAGTAGTTGGGAGCTAGTCAAGAGTTAGTCGACGAGTAATTTCTGGATGATCAATTATTGCTAATTGATGATTTAGTCGTAAGGTAGAGATTAATAATAACGACCGGAGGTCGTACAACTAATAACAGAATTACGGTGAATTAGACAGTAGACGTCTAAAGCAGTGCTTCTCAAAGTTTCAATATTCACAACCTGATTTTCAATCAGGATTTTCCTCCTCTTACAATATCAATGTATCAAATTCAATAATACTATACTTCGACCGATACGACCTTAACCTCTTAAGTACCTCCAGCGTATATAAACGTCTCGCTGAGTCAAAGCGTCAATTTCCCCGGACGTATATATACGCCTTTCCGAAGTACGATCTCTGCACTGCGTTCCATAGAATTATTCCGAAGGCTTTGGAATACAAAAAAAGGACCTTGACGACCTTTGCGAAGAATTTACTTATTTCAGAATATTTGTTACTTCATTCCTCCCCCTGCCCTAATACATCTCATTCGCGCGTCTACGCGGAAAATGGTTGGCATTGGAAACGAATCGCGTCACTTTTAATCGGCAATTAATGGATTAATTATAAACCGTACAATTTATTAAGGTGTTAATTTTTGTATGTAATTTTATATATGACAATCCCATGGGGTCACTGGTAATTATTAAACTTGTTCTTTACTTAGTATTGTTAAATTAATTATAAAATACATCGTTTAGCACTAATGCATTTATAAGTGTAATATATAAGTGTAAATGTTTATTTTATTTTTTTATTATGCCAGAATATGTTTTATTTGCTTACTTTTAGTAAATTAATGATTTTTTTAAAAAAATAATCTTTTGTTTTTGACTTTTCAATATGCTAGCGCCCCCCTCGTAGACACGTCACGCCCCACAGTTTGAGAAACGCTGGTCTAAAGTGTTCCAAGACTAAGTGAATTATTTTATACTCAAATATTAAGTATCCTTTTTGCCGTGTGATTGCTTTTATACTTAGTAGAGGTGTGCACTTCCAGCCATGAGTTGTTGATATAAGTTACAGAAACAATAAATTGGAATTTGTGTTCTGATTATGACTCTATTCTAACTATCGAGCACCGATAACCACAACGCGGTTATTATGACCTGTTTTGATTCTCAAATTTAATAAATATCGAGATCCAAAAGTGATTTAAGAGCATGAAAGATAAAATATAGTTTTTGCATTTATTCGGGGACATACAGGCATTTTTGGAAATGATCTGGCTGAATGGTTTGCAAAGGCACCCACCCAGCGCGAAATCGACATTGCCGTTAATATTCCTTTATATAGAAAATGCACTTCGCTATAGAGAGGTTATTTTACGAAGAAAATCGTGAAATATTCAAGGTTCCAGGAAAAAGTTCGCTATATAGAAAAATTCGCAATATAGAGGTTCGTTATATAGAGGTTCGACTGTATTTTCAAACTATCTATTTTTGACTTTTTATAATTTTATTTTTTTATTTAATTTTATTATTAATATATTGTCATTGTCCTTCGTTTATAGGTTTGGTTCCAGAATCGTCGCGCCAAGTGGCGCAAGACGGAGAAGTGCTGGGGCAAGAGCACCATCATGGCTGAATACGGACTGTATGGGGCAATGGTAAGACACTCTCTACCGTTGCCCGAGTCAATCCTGAAGAGCGCCAAGGACGGTGATGTTTCCTCATGCGCGCCTTGGCTGCTAGGTATATACACACCTTCTCATTTTTACGATACCTTTAGATTTAACCTAATTGATTTTAGATTCACACTATCCGCCCTTTCGCAAATTCATCCGAAATGAGTCGCTTTTCGTTTCCCTTTAAAGTAACTCCAATTAAAAACGGTTTTTAACATAGAAATTAATCATTTAGGAAAAACCTTTCATATCTAATGAAAAAAAGATTAAAGTTTTACTGAATATAGAATGGACTACATAGAGATTCCCAAATAAATATCAGTTTGTCGAAGTGGGTGTAAAAAAAGACATTTGTAACAGCTCTTGTCATAATAGCTGTAATTAACTGTCCCAAACAGTAGAAGCGCCTTCTAGCGAACACTTATCTACAGTACAGGCCAGGTGAGGGAAGAATAGGGTAGCTATTAAAAACCGTACATGTTACATGCCTATTATTTTTGTTCTAATAATATGTGTTGTATTTGTGTAACTTAAATTAATAAATAACTATTACACTAACTGAGGCTTCATTAAACCCAAGCCCGAATTTATCGCTTTTAGTTTAATCTTTAATGTCCAACACTCTACGAATACTTATTTAGTGAAACTCAAGTACACTTCACATTCCAAGACATAAAACACCACACATTCCAAAAAACATAAGGAATGATATAGGTATTAAATCATAAGCAGCCGAAAGACAAAACTCAATGTATCTGAGAAATCCGAAATAAATATGATGAAAATAATAAAATAAGGAAAATGCAAACTATTTATATTACTTTTAGAAGTATTTATATTACCTGCATCGCCCTACACATTGTATTTGAGTCTTGCATTTGTTAATAATTCCACAATTGAGTTTATTCTAATGTATAAGAAATATATCGGCTGTCCGAAAAGTATGACTACACGTTCAAATTTCAATTACAAATACGCAGAGATATTCATTTACAATTTTTCTTTCTTTTCAACGGTTTATTGCCCGAATTCAATGTGTACACCATTAGTTGCGTGCAACACGCCGAGTAACCTCATCTCATCTTTTGTTGGGACAGCCAAATTTTGTTTTTAACAATACACTACCTATCGTCAGAAATCTTTCGTGCCACTTGTAAATTGTGGATCTTGAGGGGGACTCCATTTATACGTAGTCAGATTTTTTTTCTGCGCATGTATTGCAGATTCAAATTCGATCAACCATGATACAACTTGCTTTTGTTTTTGCGGTGAAGCCATTTAAAATCGAAAATGTTGCAAAACGTTACAACATATAGTTTGCATTTCATTAAAGATAAACTTTAATCTTTTCTTTAAGGAATATAAAAAACCGTTAGAGAAAAATGTTGTTTATTTCAATTCCTACTAGTAGTTCACTCTCCCCTATATATATATAGAGAGAGAGATAGATAGATAGATAGATTTGTACAAGATATATACCGGGTGGGCAAAAAGTCCGTAAAAATTTTAAAAATTCATAAAATCCGGAGAAATGAACGAAAAAGAAACTGTTTGCAGGATCAGCATTAGTATGTCACGGGATTTTTAAGCTAGAAAAAATAATCCGGAAAATCATTCGGTAGGTGGCGCTGATGTACGCAAATCAAAGAAACAATGCATACATAATGAACAGAAAACTTTCACAACTTTATTACACCACATGACCACCACCACAGGGGAGAAGACATTCCAGGCGAGTGACAAATCAAGCAACGGTAGAGTGCAACATGTCCGGATGTATGGAGGATACTTCTCTGCGGATCGCATCTTTCAGTTCCGACAGACTTGATGGACCGGATAGATACACGCGAGATTTCAAATATCCCCACAACCAGAAGTCTGCCGGTGTTAAATCTGGAGACCGAGGAGGCCATGGGTACCTGCAGCGTTTGCTAACGATTCTGTCTTCCCCGAACGTCTGTATCAGGAATGCCTTAACCGGGTTAGCAGTGTGACTGGTTGTTCCATCCTGCATGAACGTGACATTCGCAATCTGACCTATTTGAATTAAACATGGCACGACAGTCTCCCGCAGAAGCGTTGGATAACGCTGAGCATTTACCGTTTCCGTTATCCATCCATTTACTGGGCACTGCGTTTCAAAGAAGGGTCCTATGATAAATGAACCCGTGAAACCACACCATGCTGTCCCTTTTGGAGAATGCAATGGCTTCTGTGTGTACTCACGTGGATTAGAGGTCGCCCAAATGGGACAGTTATGGTTGTTAACGTCACCATGAAGCGAGAAATGAGCTTCATCTGTCCACAAGATGTTAAAAACCCAGGTGAGATCCTGTTCAATTTTAGAGAAGGCCCACTTCGCAAATGCTTCCCTCTGTGCGGTATCTGCTGGCAAAAGTTCATGGCACGATTGCAATTTGTATGGGTACAGCTGGAGGATTCGACGAAGAATATTGCGGACAGATGTTGGTGGTAAGCCCAATCGTCTGGCAGCTTCACGAGCACTGTTGGTCCCTGAAGCTGCTTCGGACGCTATCGCTTCCATTTCAACAGCAATGCAGGGTGTACGTGCTTCTTTCAAGCATGTCGTCCAGCTCGTGCTCGATCCTCCAACTTTCTAGTTTCCTCAAAACGTTTAACATACTTTAAGAGACCTGCAGGTGTTAAAGGGCCTTTTCCACTCTTCACACTTTTCTGAACTCGGAATTTACGCAAGGCAATGGTCGCTGATTCCTCGTTCATGTAAAATAACTTCACCAACAAAGCTTTATCCGGCGCACTGAGCATCCTTGTTCACATTAACTGTATGTAATGGGGAAATGAATGTGGATTCATTGAGAGCAAAGGTTTTTGTAGCCGTCTAATTTGCATATTTACACCACAGACACTTGTAACAGCGCCACCTACCGGATGATTTTCGAACTATTTTTTTTCTAGCTTAAAAAAAATCCCGTGACATACTAATGCTGATCCTGCAAACAGTTTTTTTTTTCGTTCATTACTCCGGATTTTATGATTTTTTAAAGTTTTTACGGACTTTTTGCCCACCCGGTATATATATCTTGTACAAATTTTCAATCGCTATATATATATAATGAGAATACTTTCTATTCATCCATTCAAGTTCAAATACATTTTTTAAAACTTGAAGAGGATGACACTTAATGTTAACAGTTTTTAGAAATATTAATTCATTCATCAAATTAAAAAATGAATAAATAGTAACAAACAAAAATAATAATCCAACAACATATATAGAAAGGAAAATTGTTTATTCTGTCCCAGTAGCGCAATGGGTAACGCGTTGCACTTCTAATCTAATGGTCGTGGATTCGAATACCACCTGGGATGACCTAATTTCTGAGAATGTAATTTCTTTTTTACTATACTATTTTATTAGAATAATTAAATTTGGTTGATCAATAAATAGTAACACACCAAAAAAAAATATAGTCCGACACCTTATATAGAAAAAAAAAATGGAAAATTGCTTTCCATTTTGTCACTTAATGGTATGGTTCTGTCATATGTAGATACATATTTATACTAATTGTAACTATTTAATAAAAAGTAATTAGAATAAAAAATTTTCTTTGTTGACCTAAGTAGAAATTGGCTTAATTTTTTTTATATTGCTTGTTTTTAACTCATTTTTTAAAGTGCAACTATGCTTTTCGGGCATCCTATATATTAGTATTAACATAGCTACTAGGTTAAATATCAACGGGCATTATCTGACGATGCAGGAAAATCTGTTTTGAAAAATAACTTGAAAACAACATAGCAGTTTATTCCTGAAATTTTACATTTCACTTTTCCATAAAGATAAATAATAAACCATATCGGATACTGTATAACAGACGTGTTCAAAAAAAAAAGTTTACAATCAACAGTTAAAAGTATAGAACTGTTCGCCACACGGACAATATTTTCAACCAAGTAGCAGAAATACATTTATTTGATTGGAAATGAGAAAAAATAACTATTTTTCGGGACTACCGTGTTTCCAAATTCCCAAAGCATAGGGAAAAAATCCCGTTTTAACAGAAGAGAAAAGCAGAAAAATCCCTTTTGTATTTTATTTCATTGTTATCCTTCTGCTTATTTGTAGGGAGAATTTCTCGTGTTTGCCTTCTAGAGTTTCAAAGCTTGCCTTTTCTCTTCGAGAAGCGCAAAAAAAAAAATTCCGTTTCTCTTAAGAATTGGGAGTATCGGAATAAATATTGGCATTTCCTGCAAAGTGCCTGTTTCTCTTCCCGTCTTTTTCCCTACAGGTGAACAAAACAGTGTATAATGATGGGCAATCTGCGTATCCGAAGAAACATAGTAGAAAAGCGAGGGAAAACCGATAAACTAAAGAATATTCGCTCCATTTTTATTTCATATTTGCCATTTTCAAAAGAATTTTATTCGTAAAAAACTACACGCTTTTTAATATTGGAGCTTTGAGGCTAGGAATGAATCGAGGAACAGTTTTTTTCCTAGGTTTTAGATACATTATTGTACACCTTAAACTAATTATGCATAGTTTGTACAAAGCTATGTTTTTCCTCAAGTACATATAAGTCAGAAATAAGTCAAAGAATTTTTCAAGAATACAAAGCACCACATATCTCTCTGTTTGGATAAAATATCTTAATTGATTGACCTGTTAAAAATATGCAGTAGAAATATTCTATTTTTATTCATTTTATTCTGCTTTTAAAAAATACTATTCGCCATATTGATCCGTTTGGAGCTCAAAACAATTAAAAAGATTTTTCCCCTGAAGTGGCAACAATAAAAAAAAGTCATTTACGTTTCTGAATAAATTTCTTACTATTCTGCAGTATTAGCGATTCATGTCTTATATTTGGAAACAAAAATTTATTAATGGATATAATTTACGCAAAAACTATAACGCGCGTAACATGTTTGAATAAAGATTTAGAAGATTTATTTTTAAAAAACTTACTTATACACAATTCCAATATGAGTGTTTTTTGCAGAAAAACAAATATTACTTGTGTTCAAGAATTTCCCAGATTAAACTATAATATTTGAAATCGGGATTTTTTGCTAGAAATAAAATTCATCAAAACAAAGAAAAAAATTAATATTTGAATTTTTTATGAAACACATATATATGTTACGTAAAAATATTTTCCCTCTAACAGATTGATAGGCTTTTAATGATTTTTTACAAAGTGATGATATTATAATCGTATTATCAATTAAACTTCCAACATACGCTTTTTTTAAAAAAAAAACTTTAAATTTGAAATAATAAAGGAACACAAAAATATTTTGCATGAAGCAAAAAAAAAAATTTTTTTTTCTTTTTTCGTTGACAAATTGAACCAAAATTTAAAACAAGATATCAGAAATCCTACTTTTGTCCCTCAAAACAGCACAACAATAGTTACTTAAATTGAAGTGGTAATTTAAATTTTGTTAATTTTAGTACTTAATATTTATACGAATATAATATAACTCTTGAATAAGAATGTTTATTACGAAATTATCGCTTCGAAAATGTGAAAGCAAAATAGATTTTGTATGAGTAGACTAAAAAAAACAATTCGTATGTATTGTGTTTGCCCTTTTTATCTGTCCATATTTATTTCCTTAATACAATAGTTTTAATTTATATTAAGTTAAAGTTATAAGTTTATATAGATATATATTACAACAAAAACATGACAGATTTTATGTGCCTTTTCTTCTTGTAACTATATATAAGGCAAAAATGTATTTTTGTCCCAATTTATATTCATGTATGTTTTTGTTAAAAGAACTTTATTAGAAGAAAAATATTTGCTTAAATTAGATGTCAAATAGTTAAACTACAAATTGTTCTTTACTTTAAAAGAAATTTCCACATGTTTTAAAAATTATTGCAAATTGTAATGATAATATCTTAACTAAAATATAATAATAATAATAAAATCTCTTTTTTAATTCTTATTTCTATTTAAGAATTTTTCATATTTAACATTAAGAAGTTCTTGATAACCCTTATATGTCAAATATATTTTCAAATCATTCCACAATGTTTATATTTTAGTGAGATCTGAAGTATTATGCCCTTTTATAAATTAGTTATTTATTTCATTAGAAGATGTGAAAAAAATATATTTAAATTAATTTATATATATAATATTCTTCATCATAAATGTATGCATTAGGTGTACATCCCCCAGAAACTATTGAAGTTTAATCCCAAAAAATTCAAATAAATTTTTCATTAAAAATTAAAGCAATTATTTGTATATATTCGACACACACACACACAATTGGTTCCTGTAAAATTAATTTCCCAACATCACACCTGCAGATGTGGTTCTCAAATTTGTCCATCAATTTACCTCTGGTTCACGATCATAATTTTCATGTATCTTATAGATTTATGATGAAAAATCTAAAGTATCTCCTAAAAAATGCTTCTAATTTATTTTTTGTTACAGCTTTTTGTTTCTGGTATTTTAGTTATAAGCCTTTCCATTAATATTTCAAGTAAACGAAACTGTCAGGGGAAATAATTTTTCTACCAAATGCAATTACTAGGTGCTGAAATTATACACATATTTTAGAATCAATCATTTCCTGATTTTTCTTAGTATCATTAATGAGTAACATGTATAGATTTCTTTATTTCCTTCGTCTTTTTTTAAATAATAATTCAATGTATTAAAACTATTTTTTATTAGAACAGTGCAATTTATTTTCTAATAAGAAAGATAATTTTAATGTTTGCTGCATCTAATAATTTCTAAGACTTTAGTAAAGATTGTCATGGAATTAAAATAGTTTATTTTTACTTTTGTAGTTCCATTAATTATATTGTAGCCAATATGCATTCCAAAATATAACTATATAATTAATATATATATATATATATGTTAACTATTATATATATATATATATATATATATATATATATATATATATATATATATATATATATATTAATTATATTATTTCAATTAATTTTTTTCTTTAAAAAAATAATATTAAGAAATGGAAATACAAAAGAGTAGTTAGATTTTTGAGAGGTATATTCTCGAGCGGAGATACTTTGTATTTTTTTCAAAGCTGCTAGCTTACTCTTTTTGAATACTTTTAGAAGTTTGGATATCATAATTTGAGAACCACACCACGTGCACTTTAAGAACGAATCGATAAAACCAATCCCCAAGCATCCATTCTGAGTTTGATATTTTTATTCTTTAAAATAATATTTCCCTAAATCATAAAATGGAACCACCTTTAACGTAAAATTGATTTGGTTATCTAAACCCCAAACATTTGCCTGAAAGTATCATATGAACTCATTTTTCTATGGGTGAAAGAGAGGTGAATGCTTGTGTTTTAGACACCCATCCACCTTGGAAGCTAACCACGTGGTCCTCATCTATCGTCTAAACAGGGATGCACCGCAAATCGCAGGAGGCCGCCGAGAAGCTCAAGGACTCGGATCTCAGCTCGGAGGAGCACCTCTCCCAGCACCAGACCAAACCCAACTCAGAGCAGCAGCAACAACCGCAGAGCAGTTCCGGCACCACACCGACCGTCCAGCAGACATCGTTCCACCACCACCCTCACCAGCAACAGCAGCAGCGCAACCACCAGCACCACCACCCACAGGGATCGTCTTCGTCAACCTCCTCCTCCTCAAGGGGCTCCAGTCCTGTCATGGGAGGAACATCCCTCCACCATCCCAACAAAGAGGACCTGAGGTCCTCGAGCATCGCCTCTCTGAGGGCGAAAGCTATAGAGCATTCGGCAAAGGTATTTGGCGAGGGCCGAGGAGACGGACCCCCTGGAGTCGGAGAAGGTCCACCGAGGTCCAAAGACACTGGACTTATGATGGACAGGCCCTCCATACATTCCATTGGGTCTCTTTTTTAAAGTTGGTACTTTGATTAATCTTCCTGTTCTTGAACGAGTGACAATAGACTGACATTTGATTTAGGGAAAATGTTGAATTAAAATCTTCATTTGGCTTTAATCTTGTCGCCAAGATTCGTCATTGACGACTTTTGTGAAAATAAAATTTTGAAGATTGGCGAAAAATTTTTGGCGACATAAAAATTTGTAAAAATGGCATTTTAGATTTTATAGCGAAATATTCCATTAATCGACAATTCTGTCCTGAATGTGACTATTTGCAGCTGAAGAAAAAAACTGAATAATTTCACCTTAAAAAATTTTTTAATCAAGTCGACAAGTTTTGTCGCTTGCCTTCTGTATCGGTAAATATGGCGATATTTGACGCGAAATTCTTAATGATAAAAAAAATTCACGAAAATTAATTTCTACTCTAAAAGAGATAATATTGAACCATTGTCTTATATGCATCTGTTACCGAT